CTGCGGTCTGTAGAATAAGAATATAGTACTTGTTTAAGTTAATGTTTAATAGTAATGGCTATGTATATTTTATTATATGGTAGAAGAAGTTTGTTACTTAAAAATGGAAATTATATTTGCAAAATATTACTAAATATACGTGATTGTGTAAGTTCGCTTGTAGGATGATGTAGTGTTTGTTCGCTTGTGGGATGATGTAGTGTTTGTTCGCTTGTAGGGATGATGTAGTGTTTGTTCACTTGTGGGATGATGTAGTGTTTGTTCACTTGTGGGATGATGTAGTGTTTGTTCGCTTGTAGGATGATGTAGTGTTTGTTCGCTTGTAGGATGATGTAGTGTTTGTTCACTTGTGGGATGATGTAGTGTTTGTTCGCTTGTAGGATGATGTAGTGTTTGTTCGCTTGTTGGATGATGTAGTGTTTGTTCACTTGTGGGATGATGTAGTGTTTGTTCGCTTGTAGGATGATGTAGTGTTTGTTCGCTTGTGGGATGATGTAGTGTTTGTTCGCTTGTAGGATGATGTAGTGTTTGTTCGCTTGTAGGATGATGTAGTGTTTGTTCGCTTGTAGGATGATGTAGTGTTTGTTCGCTTGTGGGATGATGTAGTGTTTGTTCGCTTGTAGGATGATGTAGTGTTCGCTTGTAGGATGTAGTGTTTGTTCGCTTGTAGGATGTAGTGTTTGTTCGCTTGTAGGATGTAGTGTTTGTTCGCTTGTAGGATGATGTAGTGTTTGTTCGCTTGTAGGATGATGTAGTGTTTGTTCGCTTGTGGGATGATGTTAGTGTTTGTTCGCTTGTGGGATGATGTAGTGTTTGTTCACTTGTGGGATGATGTAGTGTTTGTTCACTTGTGGGATGATGTAGTGTTTGTTCGCTTGTAGGATGATGTAGTGTTTGTTCGCTTGTAGGATGATGTAGTGTTTGTTCGCTTGTAGGATGATGTAGTGTTCGCTTGTAGGATGATGTAGTGTTTGTTCGCTTGTAGGATGATGTAGTGTTTGTTACACTTGTGGATGATGTAGTGTTTGTTCGCTTGTAGATGATGTAGTGTTTGTTCGCTTGTAGGATGATGTAGTGTTTGTTCGCTTGTAGGATGATGTAGTGTTTGTTAGCTTGTAGGATGATGTAGTGTTTGTTCGCTTGTAGGATGATGTAGTGTTCGCTTGTAGGATGATGTAGTGTTTGTTCGCTTGTAGGATGATGTAGTGTTTGTTCGCTTGTGGGATGATGTAGTGTTTGTTCGCTTGTGGGATGATGTAGTGTTTGTTCGCTTGTAGGATGATGTAGTGTTTGTTCGCTTGTAGGATGATGTAGTGTTTGTTCGCTTGTAGGATGATGTAGTGTTTGTTCGCTTGTGGGATGATGTAGTGTTTGTTCGCTTGTAGGATGTAGTGTTTGTTCGCTTGTAGGATGATGTAGTGTTTGTTCGCTTGTAGGATGATGTAGTGTTTGTTCGCTTGTAGGATGATGTAGTGTTTGTTCGCTTGTAGGATGATGTAGTGTTTGTTCGCTTGTAGGATGATGTAGTGTTTGTTCGCTTGTAGGATGATGTAGTGTTTGTTCGCTTGTAGGATGATGTAGTGTTTCGTTCGCTTGTAGGATGATGTAGTGTTTGTTCACTTGTAGGATGATGTAGTGTTTGTTCGCTTGTAGGATGATGTAGTGTTTGTTCGCTTGTAGGATGATGTAGTGTTTGTTCACTTGTAGGATGATGTAGTGTTTGTTCGCTTGTAGGATGATGTAGTGTTTGTTCGCTTGTAGGATGATGTAGTGTTTGTTCGCTTGTAGGATGATGTAGTGTTTGTTCGCTTGTAGGATGATGTAGTGTTTGTTCGCTTGTAGGATGATGTAGTGTTTGTTCACTTGTAGGATGATGTAGTGTTTGTTCGCTTGTAGGATGATGTAGTGTTTGTTCGCTTGTAGGATGATGTAGTGTTTGTTCGCTTGTAGGATGATGTAGTGTTTGTTCGCTTGTAGGATGATGTAGTGTTTGTTCGCTTGTAGGATGTAGTGTTTGTTCGCTTGTAGGATGATGTAGTGTTTGTTCGCTTGTAGGATGATGTAGTGTTTGTTCGCTTGTAGGATGATGTAGTGTTTGTTCGCTTGTAGGATGTAGTGTTTGTTCGCTTGTAGGATGATGTAGTGTTTGTTCACTTGTAGGATGATGTAGTGTATGGAAGTGAGGTGGGACGAATCATTTGTTATATTATACTGTGTTTAGTTTTTCTGTGGTGAGGTGTGGAGATTGTTATTTTCTAACCTTTATTTGATTAGTAATTTATTGAGGTGTTATGTATTATGTATTTGATATGAAGTTTAATATACAATAATAATAAGTGTGTAAAGAATTTTTGGATAATTGAGAATGTCTTCGTACATACAGTTTTATGTAAAATGTAAATACCTGTGACATTCTTTGGGTTATATTGCATATTGTGTTTATGGCTGCAATTTTGGATGTAATAAATCCACCTGTATTTGAAGCTGTGGGCTGTCTTTAGTTTAGTTAAATGTATGTTATGTGTGATGGTTGTTTTTTTTTTGGGGGGGGGGTATCAAACTTTTTTAGTTGAACGTGTGTTTTCTTATGTATAAGTTTAGTGCTAAGGTAGGGAATGTGGAGTTTTCTTTTGTTATATATAATGGATACGTTTCATTGCTTACATTGTCTACATGTATAATTGTGTATTGCGTTTTTCAATAAAATATAAAAAAAAATTCTCACCCTACCCAGAAATGTCACCATTGTGGGTGACATACTGGGGAATGGGGTGTTATATCCTTGTATGGTAGTTCTTATCCCTTAATGTAAGGTCTGTAAAAATCAGTGGTATTCCGTAAGAAAAACAATTTGTTAGATGTAAATAAGCGAGTTACTTTAGGGAGCGGTCACTGTTGTTGTAAAGGTCAACGATATGAACATTGTCCTGCTAACCTCAAAATAATGAATATTTAACGAGTGAGAGAGAGAGACGTGTGTATGTGTGTACTCACCTTTATGTACTCACCTAGATGTGATAGTAAAGATCGAATCTTGGCTCCTGCCCCACCTCTCAGCTTGCCAGATTCACCCTCCCCTAGCCTCGTGGACCCTGTCGTGCCTGCTCTTAAAACTGTGCATGAAGCCTGCCTCCACCACAACTTCGTCAAGGTCATTCCACTTCCTGTTTACCCTGAGTCTGAAGAAGTACTTCCTGACATTCATATGACTCATTTGTGTATTTAACTTCCAATTATGCCCCTGTGCACCTATTCGTTCCCTCTCCTGCAGTCTATCCCTGTGTACTTTATCAGTTCCCCTCAGAATTTTGTATATCATGTCTGCCCTTGTTCTTTCCTGTGATGATGTATGTTCAGTTCCTTTAGCCTCTCATAGCTCATAACCCATAACACTGAGGCTAGATCGTTGCATACCTCTGCACTTTCTCCAATTTCTTAACATTATTAAGTGTTGATTCCATCATGCCCTTGCTACGTGTGTGTGTGTCTTTGTGTAAGTGTGAATGTGACCGTGAGATTCTTTCATAATAAGAAACATTCGTATTTATACGGATAAAAATACTAGGTTTTTCAACCTGCCAATATTTTACTATGTGACACCTCTGTTCCGGACGTTGCAGCCTAACAGACTATTGTGCACAACTTAATTCAATCACCCACAATTCGTCGAAGCTACAGTTCAGTTCACAAGGACAGGATGACACCACCAAACATCCTGTGCCACGTACAATGATACTGAATGTCATTACCTTTCCCCTTACCAGCTCCAGCGAGGCGGATAGCCTCTTCCTGCCCATTCACTGGGATCCCATATATATTATTGCTGTTTACAAAAGTCCTCATCTAACTTGGTTATGTTCTTTGTGTTAAATTTGCAAAAGAAAGGCACTATATGAGAATGTCCAGCAGGTGGTTGTGTACATTTGAAAGCGTCTGCTTGTGCATTATAGAACGTTGGTATATGTGTGTACGTTAGTGAGTGATTGTGTCTGATGTATAAACGTGTCTGAGACCATTCCAGTAAGTGTGCTTGAGGACATTGGTGAAGAATGTGTCTGAGCGGCCGTGTAAGTGCATCCGTCTGAGAGCGTACGAGTGTACTCCCCTATATGTCTACCTGTCGATTCACAGCTCCTGGCCTCTCCAGGAGTTGTGTGCGCGTTTGAAAGCATTTGTGTGTGTGTATGAATCTGAGAGCTCTGGTGTATGTTTACAGTTTAGAGAGGTGAGTGTGTTGCGTGTTGTGTAGCCTCGCCCAGGGTAGTTCACTGGTCTATTGCACGTAGTCCCTCATTTAATATTCATACCCCCATTGTAATACACACACGCACACACACACGTACGTACATACGTTTGATGAAACCAGTATTGAGACAAACAAACCTTCCAAATATTAAACTACTGCTTACCGTCATTAAGAAACACTCATACACTATATTAACAGAGATTATGTATATGTATTTCTTATTGTATAATTGCTGAAAATTTTCTTTAATCGTTATTTAAAGTATTAAAGTATAATTCCTGAGCTAGTGACATGCGGACTCGATGACCTGTTGAGCAGTTGATATTCTAATTAACCAGTCAGCTCCGGCACAGTTGGTTACTCCCATAGATGAACTTATCCTCTCTGTGGTCAGTCAGGCTGTGACCTTCTCATTGTGGTGACCTTCCTGACATCGTCACAGTCTGTTAAAGAGAACTCGCTTCAGCTGTTATGTATCTACGTATGTTTCTTCCATATTACTTATCCAGTAGTAGTTTTTTATGTATCTTGTACAGGTTTTACCAGTCTTGACTTACTCGGATTTTTGGTATTGTTTCTAGCTATGCTTATTGTCAGCATTTGTACGTGAATAATTTTTCGCGTATCTCGTAGTTTTTTGTTCATTGTTAAACTGGTTTTATGTCTGACAACTTTATGTACAGTACCTGTATATTGGTTATTTAGAATTTATATTGTTAATGTTTTTTTAACTGTTATACACACAATGTTTCAGAGATGTGACACAGCAATAAGGGGTCACAACTTGGAAGTTGAAAATTCAGATGAGTCACAGGGACTCAGCCATAGAGTTGTCAGGAAGTGGAAGTCTAGAGTGATGTAGTGGAGGCAGGAGCCATACATGTCTTTAAGAAGACATGATAAAACTCATGGAGCAGGGAGTGAACATAGTAGTGACCAGTGAAGAGCGGGGCCACGAGCTGTGACTCGATCCCTGCAACCACAATCAGGTGAGTACACACATACGTATATACATATATTGCTAAGAATCATTTTTGAAAATGCATGACGATTTTATAACGTCATGGTTAAAAAAAAAAAAAAAAAAAAAAAAAGCCGAGTGCTGGCTGTCAGCTAATCCATTCTATTATTAGACAGTGTGAGGTACTCGTATATTCAAAGCTTCTCACCTTACACATTTGTGGAAGTTTTATGTTATCTTGCTTGTACCTTTTTAAAAGTGCGTGTACTCGTCTAGTCGTGGGTGCTGGGGTTGTTATAGCCACTAGCCTATCCTTTCTTCATGCAGTTGACATTACTTGATTCTAGCCTCGAAACCATGCATAGAATTTGCTTCCTCAACATTTTTCAATTTTACTAAAGAATGAAGTACTTCCCAACATCCCTGTGATTCACCTTCGTTTTAGCTTTCATTAATGTCATTTGTCCCAATTCCTCTCCTGTTTTTCCTATCCATTCTCTCAATGTATCTTGAGTTTCATGTATGCTACCAGTATCTCCGATGGTTCTTTTATTCTTCATGGTCGTTAGTTTCAGTACCTTTAGCCTCTTCGGTTGCGGAACTAATCTGGTTGCAAAGCTCTGGATCTTCTTAAGCTGCGTCATGCTAGTGCCGCTTACTTTTAAGCTGTGCTGTGGCTGTGATATTCACACCAGGTCATTTTTTTCCCCGATATTTAAAGTTGCGCTCCTCCCAATCTATACTGTAACAGGTTATATCTCTCCCTTCCCAGTATTCATGACCTTCCAATGTTCATAATCTTTCTCTGGCTGGTTTGATCATGCTGAGAACCTGTTTTTTATCTTCCTGTACACTCTACCTATGCTTAAAAAGGACGTGCAGCACAAAAAAAAAAAAAAAACGTTTTTAGTGCGATGTTTCACCTACTCAGTTTTATATAGTACAGTGAAAACCTAAAATGGCAGTTTGAAAATATTTTCGTGTTACAAGCTTGCATCTACTATATTAGTTGATGGGGCAAGAAGCCCTACGTATCATCAGGGTGGATGGCGGCGTAGGTTTGTCCTCAAAGGTCATAAAATATTCTTTTTTTCTGAAATCCGTGGGAGAGAGAGAAATAAAAGATGTATTTTTTATGGACTCTTCATGGAAATGGTCACAATACATCAATCCTTGAGTGCACTGGACCAAGTGATGCAGGATATTTCAACAGACCGCATCACTCGGGTCACCAAATGTCTTGGCCTCTGTGTTTTACAGTTGCCTTTCTGAAAGCTGGCTCATTACCACGTAAGCCTGTTTTGGCTTTACTGTCAGGCATCTTTGCTAAAATCTCTGTTCTTTGTCAGTCGTTCCAGTGATTTATTCCTCTCATTAGTTTTACATCATCCACAGTGACGCATGAGACTGTTGTCTCTGATAGGTCATTCATATATGTTAATAATCTTTATTTCAGCATACAATGTTTGTATAGAGATGGGTGACATTTAGGTGTGCGTGCAGATAGCCCTTTGTTATGCAGAGCATTTCGGGCAAATTTAGGCTTAAGACTAAAATGGCAATAACTGATTGCTTATACGTTCTCTAAGGGGTCATGAACAATAAATTTAGAAATTACAACAGATAACTGACTGGACCATGAATTTTTTTTTTCTTAATGTTTGGAACTTCTTTCCTTTGCCTCTTGGCACTTTGTTACCTCTATCCTTTCTTCCATATCTTTGCCCTCCACTTCTTTCCCATTGCACTTCGATGTGTCTCATTCCATCATAATCCCTCTTTTTTGTATTCTTTGTTTCTCACTTTCTCTTTCTCTCGCCATTCCCATTTCCGGTTGTATCTATTAATTTCCCACAAATATTTCCGGCCATATAATAATAATTTTGTGTAAAAAAAAATCAGGGCGAGTCTTGCTACTTATCTCCTTTCCCTCTCATTTTCTTCAAGCGTAGTCTCGGAAAATTTTTCCTTGTGGTTGAAATTTCCTGGCAATAGTTCACCTTTTGTTTCTTCATGTTTTCTATTGCACTGTTTGTCATTGTCCTGTTCTGATCGCGCTCCACTGTCTCCTAACACTTGATTATAGTTTAATCAGGGGTAAGAGTTACACCAAGAAGTATCATAATAACACCTGGGGAATGGGAGGCATTCAGGTTTGTTCCAAGGAATGGATCAAGAGCCCCTCACCGACAGTTATTTATCACTTTTGTCTTTCCATATATTATGGTATCTACTATATAATCCGTATATACCCCTCAAGGGAGGTTCCTTCACGCTGGTGAGGGGCTCTTGATCTAGGGAATTGGATCTGTGCTCCAGTTCCCTGAACTGAGCCTGAATGCCTCCCCCCCCACAGGCGCTGTATAATCCTACTGGTTTAGCGCTCCCCCATGATCATAATAACCCGTATATAATCCTGAGAGCTGTCTCTATAATAACTAGCATATCAGGGTTTTCCTCTATATGTGGGCGCGTGTGTGGCGTGCTGGCGAGGTTGCATACAAACGTTTGCACTCCCAGACTTACACTTTTATTGTTTTCACCATTTTACTCACTATACCCGTGGTTTGGAGGCAGAGCACCGTTAGATACCAGAAGTTTACCTGGAGAGAGTTCCGGGGGTCAACGCCCCCGCGGCCCGGTCTGTGACCAAGCCTCATGGTTATAATTATGTGGTTATAGTAATGGTTATAATTATAACCATTATTTTTAAAGGGGTAGACCGGTAAGCCAACGGAAGGCCTCGATCAAATGACCAAAAGCTCCAGCTGCGGGTCAAATGACTACAACCCGCGTCAGGAAACAGTTGTCATGTTTCCTGACAAACCTTACTTAACCTTGTCAGCTATGGGTGGTACTGAACAACACAGATCTAGCAGTTACTAACGTGTTGCTGGGTCTTTGTCAGTCCTCACAATATCCATACATTCTTACTGTTCAAAACTTTCCTTGAACACTCGGTTTCTAGATTCCGGGGATTTGACCGTTGGAGGTGGATGTACGTCCGCTAAAACGTTAAAACTGTTTAAGGCTCTTGGAAGTGCCGTTAGATTATCTTGCCTTATCAGCTGACGTAACTAGAGCCGTTTTCATGACTTTTTTTTTTTCCAATAAGATTATTATTATTCATTGTTGGGTAACCGTTAACTCCATAGAGATCATGTAGCACCTGGGGAATCAAAGGAAATCAATTTTGATTCATGGTATGTGAGGTTGGGTTCAGATATTTGAATCGGAGACCTGTGGGGAAGGGGAATGATGCGGAACGCAATTTATTTGTTACTTAACTGTTCATGTTTTAATCAATATATTATTATTGTATTATAGAATCTACAGTATTGAAATCTGATTAAATTTAGCTACAGTATTAGAACCATTGAAATAGTTATATTACCAGAGAGAATACAGCAGGTGTGCCGTGTGTCATGTGCCACGTTCGACGTTCATCACACGATCACTTCTTGTATTCCCTCTACCAGCCAAACTGGTAGTTAGGTCGGTGTAGTTGTAGGGGCCCCAAGTAGTGATGATTTGCTGTCAGATTTATACAACTAATTGGTAAGAGGTGGACTCGAGCCGAATTCATTCTATACTTACAACCCCCCCCCCTGATTGGAGTCACTCTCATTAGCAGGCTGAGTACACGTACTCGCCTAATTGTGGTTGCAGGGGTCGAAACTCGGCTCCTGGCCCCGACACTTTGTGAGAGTTGTAAGCCAAGTGAGTGAACTCACTTTGCTCTTTTTATTTTGCTGCCCTACGCTTCTGTAAATATTAGTGGAGGGAATATATAAATTCTTGGAAAATACCCTTTGTGTTTGCCTTTATTATCGAGGTTTGTTCTTTCTCTGAGTACTTGATCTATGGTCTTATCTGGCCATAAATCAAGAGTACCTGCGTTCGTAATAGCAGGGCATACACTCATTGGTTAATAGATTATTATTATTTAAGGTGTTATTTTCAGCCAGTGAGAGAGTGGGTAGATATGTAGCATAGTTTAGCTGCTGGCAGCGGGCATCAACAGCTTGATCGATCATCCCAGCAACCAGGAGGGCTGGTCTGGGACCGGGGACCTCAATAAGCGACTACTGGCACACGTGAGCTAAAAGTTTGATTTTCATGCCAGAATCCTTAGTATCAAGTTACTAATGTCCATGGGATAAAAATGTTCGCTATGCAAATTTAATAATGTAATAATTGTTACTAAAGTGTTTCAGTTAGTGGCTTTTAATGTATAAATTAATTTTAGTGAGATAATGGCTACTCAAACACATGAGGGGAAGCGTCATCATGCTGAGGGACAGTGTCTTCCATTGAATATGGGAATAGAAGGAGGTGTGTGTTTACCCTGCCCGAAATATTTTTTTTTTGTAATACCCATTACACCTTCATTAAAAGGACTGGAACAATTCTTGTTAATCCAGTGCTATAGACTAGTATATCTACCACCAATGCCCTGTACACCAATACTTGTGAAGGCGTAACTTGTGGCCAGCCCCATGGCCGTCATATCAGGAATTACATCATTCTTCTATACAATTTTTGTTCAGCTGTTGGTCATCTTATGACTATGAGCGGCGTCAGGAGACAATTGTCCTGTTTGCTGACAAACCTAATACCTACTTGGTAAACAAGTGCAGTCTTAATGACCCTTTGTCGACAGGATTTTGTTCTATCATAATAAATTAATAAAAATGATAATGAAGATAATGATATGAAACAAACTATGACGCCACATCCGGACCATGAAGTTTGTCAGTAGTGGGGGGGGGGGGGAGAAGGTGCATCAGATCCGCTGTAACACCACAAAACTACGTTGGTTCTTCGTGACACATTTCCTCCGTCGACCTGGTGACTAAAGTAGCTGTAAAACATTCCCACGTTTTATACGTTATTCTTCATTAGTACTGTGGGGTCGAGTTACAGCTCCTGGATCTGCCTTTCAACCTTCAATTGGCCAATTAAGACGCATGTACCTCAGTTACGTATCTTCATTCTCCGAATAAAGATACCTAACTATTGCATGTTTTTCTTACCTACTTGTTAGTATTGTATGCTATAATTAATCTTAAGGGGGATATGGTGTTGGTCCAGATGTGGTCTAGTAGGGAAACACTAGTCTCTAACTCTTGTAGGTTTTGTTACTGTTGGTAGCAACATGTAGTTACTCAGTGTTTGTGAATTCAGTAACATGTGGGTCTTGGTCTTGTAGGAGATTTATATTGAAGTCACCTGAGAGTAGTAAGTGATCTTTGTTCATGCGTGCATCAGTTATCATACTTCCTAGGTTGTCACTAAAACGGCTAATGTTTGACTGCGGTACTCTGTAGATGTTTATCACTGTGAGAGGTTTTTGTAGGTATTTGGCTGTATAGTCCTTGTGGCTTAGCGCTTCTTTTTGATTATAATAATAATAATAATGTAGGTATTTGGATTTGAATTTAACTATTATATATTCCCCATGTTCATCCCTTGTGCAAGTATTAGTGATACATTGTAGTTGGTCTGAGTAGTATGTAGTTGTGCCACCCCCTAGTTGATCTGGCCTACAGTTGTGTATGGCTGTGTAACCAGGAATGTCATAGACGTATGTAGTATCAGGCTTTAGCCAGGTTTCGGTGAGAGTAATGATGGATATACTGGCATGCAAGGAATTTAGTAATGCTATGAGGTCATCGTAATGTTTGCTTAAAGATCTGATATTGTAGTTAAAGACAGTTATGTTGTTGTTGGCTCTGAGAAGTGCCTTTGATTGTTCTCCACAAACACGTACGATCCTGCGTGCACGCGCGCACACCAGCAAACACACACAGGCCAGGAGCTGTGACTCGACCCCTGCAACCACAACTATGTGAGTACACACACACACACACACACACACACACACACACACACACACACACACACACACACACACACACACACACACATGTAAAACAGAAAATAAGCTATGGGTTGATTGCATATTTTTTATTAGTAAGGTTTTTAGGTACAATACCGTACAAAAGACTGGAACAAAAACTAGAGCAGACAGGAATAACACAGAAGTCCATTCTCGTAAAGTATTCATTGACCTCTTGGTCAGTGAATACTTTACGAGAAAGAAAGAAGAGGTGTCGGAGTGGGCAAGTGTAACTAGTGGGGTTCCAGCTAGACAAGTACTCTTCCATGTGTATGTGAGCGGCATGATGGTGATAGTCAGAGGTATCCCAGTTTGTAGATGTGACACTAAAGAGAAGACGAACGGAAGCTACAAACGGACCTGGACAAGCTGCTGGGTTTGGTCTGACATGTGTCTGTTAGAATTTAACCAGCAAATGCAAAGTTCGGAAAATCGAGGAAGGGCAGAGAAGACCACAAGCGAAATACAGACTCCTGGAAAGTAAAGTAAATCTTACTCAAGGAAAAGGACCTAGGGGTAAGCATTGTACTGAACATATTGCCTGAGGCTCATATCATCGGGAAACTCCCACATAACTCCCAACCCTTGCCGGTTGATAACTTCTCCATAACTAGAATTGTACTGTTTTAAACTCGAGCTATTATACCGTCCTGTCTCCTGGGCATCTCATGGCGAGGTGCCCAGTTCTACGCTGAGAAATGTCAGGTTCCAATTTCAGTTTGCCATATTTTATTGGACTGTCCTGTCTACCAACGAGCACGCAGAATTTACCTCCGACTTCATCACCGCTCTAACATCCTTACTTTATCTTCCCTCCTCGCCGACGGCCCCACCTTTGACACAGACTCCCTCTTTGACTTTTTGACAGCAACAGATTTATTACACCACTTCTGATTAAACTTTAGCACTCTTCACCGCTTTTTCTGACTCTATCTCTGTTCTATTCTTTACCCCTCGCTGATCTCTGATCACGCATATTACACCTTCTAGCATACCCTACCCTGCAGTGTCGTATGACCCTTACAGATTTAGCGCTTGGTTGTGATTATGATAATTTAAACTCAAGATTATATAAATTTACGGCCGAAACTCTCATCTTTTGAAAAAAAATTTCGCCGTCATAAGTTTTAACCTAACGATTTAATAATCAGATTTTTCAATATTGCCTAAATTACACTGCTTGTATTCTAACATATTAATAATTTGAAGAGAACAAGATAACGTACAGATTATTTTAGCACATAGGACTATGTCCCGTTGCTATGAGATGCAGCCGCATAGCCTAAACTACTGTTCTTTTGTGCTTCAGGTCTGGAGAGCTGCAGCTGTAGTGCCAAGTTTCTGGACAGGTCCAGAGAAGTAGCACACATGGTCAAGTCCGGGGACTCCATTGGCTCTCATCCAGCCACCTGCAACACCACCACTCACGGCGATCCTCGGTGATATCCACACGTCTAGTGGACCAAAAAGTGACTTGGCCATGCCCATGTACTTAGGCCCGCTGCCTTCGCTACTCAGGAAATATCAACAACGTCCCTTCCAAACTTTGTCCCCATCAGTACTCAGTCCTCCGTGTGCTTTCAAGCTGTTGTGGTGATCAAAGCCACTATGCAGCTTTAAAACCACATGGAAGGTTGGGCACTGATATGGGGAGGGTGTCTGGAAAGAGCGTTATCGATACTTCATAGCTGGGTGAGGAAGGCGGTGGGTCCAGGGTAGTCTGGACGTGACCAGGTGCAGACAGGTATGGTGAAAAGTGTTTGCAAAGTCATTATTCTGACTACCTAACACCCAGTGTTGAGCTGTATCGTCATGATAAAGCTCAGCACTGAGGGATAAGGAAGTCAGAACACAGGCTAATGAAAGCAAACTGCCATTGTGCAGCTGTAGTGTCGGCTACGTGGCTGTCATGAATGACTACATCTACAGTAGCAACACACTCGCTGCCTAAATAATAGTTCTGTATTTTTCTAATACATTGCATGAATAAATTTATGGTATCA